ATGGGATCATGTCGCAGCTGTTGGAGTAGATCCGTCAGCTGGCAGCCCCCCAGCTCGATCCATTCCCCTTGGCCGCTGGCTGTGTACCTCATTAGCGTGCCGCCGCATGCTGCTAGTAGGGTGACAGTCCTCATCAGTCTACTGTGCCGCAGTTTGTTAGCTAACTCGTTGTTGGGGGCGCCCCCTGCCCGCTTCATCTGTTCTCGCAGCAAGTTGAGGGTGACCCTGCCCAATCTTCCCGGGTCGTTCAGAGCATCAGTGAGCTTGGCGGTAACTTCGGTCACATACATAGTTTGAAGGGAGGGGGCGCCCACGCCACCGCGTTCCTTATCCTCTTGCAACATTGCTGTGGGGGTAGAGGTTGGCAGCCGTAGCGCAAACTTAGCCGCGCCCGCCACCAGGCTGTCCAACCGCGCAATGTCTTTACTGGTGTAGGCACCAGTTGAAAATGAATATCTGATGAAGGGCTTCAGCAATGTATCGATCAGTCTAAGTTTTTGCTCCTCGGATGCCATCGAGCGCAGGATGCCATCCGCCTTGTCCAGTACCGCCTCGTTGAGTTCCCACCTCTGGCGATGCCAGTTGAGAGATGGCGTTAGCCAGACTCCCAGGTACCGGTAGGGCTCATCATTGGGGTGGAGAAAGGGTACCGCCTGGTTGCTGATTCTCACTTGGCCGTGCAACCTTTGCCGCAGCACTTGTACTGCGTTTTTGGACAACGGTGCCCCGTTGACCTGCCGGCTGGCTGTGGCGCCATACAGCATGCCGGTGACGCCACATTTGGCGTGGTTAACCACCATTCCAGACCATTGCAGGAACCTGGTAATCTTGTCGGCCTGGTGCTTCAAGTGGAGCAGGCTATTGGTCATGATGAGCAGATCGTCTGCAAAGGCAGGTGCGCTGCAGGCCTCGGCTGTGGCCTCATCGGGGCGTGAACAACCGTGTTTGTATCCCCTGCCGCCAGAGTGCAGCCAGCGCAACAGGGGTTCGATGAATAGTAGGAACAGAAATGGGGACAGGGAGTCCCCTTGCAGGGTGCCGCGATCAATATCAATCGGGTCTGAGTCTCCAAAAGCTGTCGTGATCATAGTGCGGGCCCCGGTGTACAGCTTTTGCACGGCGAGTACAGCGTGGTGGGGAAAGCCCATGTCCCACATTAGTTGCAGGTCCAGGTGTTACAGTCACCCCGCTATGATAGGCCGCGTGAGCAGACCTTGGGCAGGGGGCACACGTGATCAAGGGGCATCAAGAGAGGGGGTGGACCATGGAGCACCCTCTCCATGGCTCCGACCACCCTCCCCCCAGCTGAGCGTCCCAGGGTCACCCCACCCTGGCCCCGCTCCCCGTCCTGCCGGACACGCAACCCCCACAACGTGGTGGGGGACGTGGGGATCCTTAGCAGCTTAGGCCTGCCAGGCCGACGGGTGCCGATGCTGGTGCGGGCTCCCGGCGG